TTAGCGTCCTTTCTTCTTTTTTCTCTTTGAGACAGAACCTCTCTGTCCTAACCATGCGTTGCACAATCCCTCCAGCTCACTTGCAACCTCCACCTCCCACATACAAGTGATCCACCGGCTCCCAGCCTCCAAAGTAGCTGGATTAACAGGCGAGCGCACCCACGCCCCCAGCAAATGTTTTTTTAGTAAAGAGATTGGGCGTTTCCAAACCATGGTTCCCAGCTGGTCGCCCTTGAAACTCCCTGGCCTCAAGGTGGAATGTTCCCTTGCCTTCAGTCTGCCCAAAGTGTGGGATTACCAATAGCCACCGCCAGCCCCTGGCTTTTGTCTTCCTCTTTCATTTCTTTTTTCTTTTTTATTGAACGGATTCGTCTGTCACCCGGCAGGCTGGAGTGTCCAAGCCGGGCCGGATCTCAGGCTCACTGCAACTCTGCTCCCGCTTCGCTCCATGCCTGCTCCAGCCTCCAACGTAGCTGAACTACAGGCCGCCCGCCACCATGCCCGACTTATTTTCCTTTGGTATTTTTTTAGTAAAAGAGACGGGGTTTCAACTGGTAGCCAGGATGGCCCGACCCCTGACCTCGTGACCGCCCGCCGTCTCGGCCCCTCCAAAGTGCCGGGATTGACAGGGCTCTGACCACCGCCGCTCCGGCCCCTCTCTTTCTTTTGTTAAACGACAGAGTCATACTATGGTGCCAGGCCTGTCCCCCGAACTCGCCTCAGCTCAAGACTGCCTCCTGCCCCTCCGGGCCCTCCTAAAGACGGGGGAAATTAAGGGTTGACTTTACCACCACCTGGCCAAGAACTTTGATCTTAGGTTAACCTGTAAGTACATGAGCACTATGCTACATTTATTTTCTGCGAAAATTATGAATTAATCTTGTCATCCAAACATAGGTTCCAAGATTTGTATCAGTGATTCAGTAAAAAATTTTTTGCCAGCACTATGAACGAAGAAATCGTTAAAGTGCAACCACCCTGGCCTGACGCGGTGGCTCACACCTGTAATCCCCGCACTTTGGGAGGCTGATGCAGGCAGGTCACCTGAGGTCAGGAGTTCGAGATCAGCCTGATCAACATGGCAAAACCCTATCTCTACTAAAATACAAAAATTAGTTGGGTATGGTGGCTACTCGGAGTGGCAAAGAGAGAAATCACTTGAACCTGGGAGGCACGGAAAAGGTCTGTAGTGAGCCAAATCGTGCCCTGCACTCCCCAGCGTGCGACAGATGCAGAGATTCCCATCTCAAAAAAAAAAAAAAAGTTTTAGGTAGGAAGCGGAAAAATAACCGACGATCACCCACCAG